ACCCGACATCCGCTTGTTCTTATAATAGGATGTTTAAGGATTAAGATGGAAAGGAGCATTGTTCAACGAAATTGCTCTACGTTGCTGAACTTAAAAAGATTGCTCTTAAATTCACTGTCTTTGGTGTTAGCATTCACTTAAGTCTTACACTGAATAAATCTTTATTGAATCATGCGTGGACAACACGAATAGTGCAGTACACTACAAAGAAGAAACACTGCAGCCCCATTTCCAACTTTATTGCTGATAACTCAATCAAATTGTTTTCATGCAGAAGAAAGAGCATAGACGGTTAAAACAATGTAATCTGAGCGATGGACTAATGAATGAAGGATAGCAAAAGTAAGTGAAACGACACCATGGTCTCAGAAGACTTTGAATGAGCGCGAGACTGTCAGTTTCATTCTGACATGGCATTTACTGGACACAAATTCTTATTCTTAGTGACAAACGCATAATGTGTATAGGCAAGAGTAAATCGTGTTTATTGTGTTATTCTCTTTAACGTTTTAAACTTTAAATGTGGCAGAATTGTATCCAATCTTGTAACCCGTAATCACAAAATCTTTCTAACTACAAAAACTGGGAAAGACGGGAAGTCTAAGCCTTGGCAGATGAACGGTCTACCAACACCTTCTTCGAAGCAGCCGCATGAATGTTGCTCATGCGCCGTCGGTGATAATAGTAGATCGGCATAATGAGGTATTTGAGCACAGCCCAAGGGAAGATATGTCTGAGCAGCATCTGAAAGACTTCGTAATTTTGATTTTCCAGTGCTCTTTATGTGAAGACATTGAAGTAACTCTTCCAGTATAGGTTGGCGTCAAGACAATTTTGGGTGGAAATTTCCTTCTTAAACTTTCATTTCTAAGAGAATTGCATTTCCGTAAGTAAGGCGTACAAGTCAACATAACACTTGGGTGCAATATGGAAACACCTGCTTTAGAATTAAGACGGGAAAGCGAAAATTACGTACAGCTCTGATATTATTTATCTGTGCTATGTTTCTAAGCGAATGATGCGTCATTTAAGAAGAGAACGAAAAACCCCTGAGATTTTGAATTTTTAGTGGCGAAAT